CGTGGGGGAGTAAGGTACAAAACAAAAACCAATTTAAAAACCGCGCCAACAAAGAGCCACCAGGGTCAATTGTACGGCATACATAAGGAACCATCGCGACGAGACTTGACCTTAACGTGGTGCGATGGTTTGTATGCCTCAGTGATCCATTGAGCTATGCTGGGTGGTGCTTTCTTGCACCTTCAGAGCCACTCATACCAGATTGGTCAATGGTTAGAGGCCAGACAAACTCAGTCTCCTGGTCCTCCAGGTTGGGGGTTGGAGTGAGGGTGACTCCTTACTCCATAAAACGGGCTCTCTGTAGTCCAGCGCCAAAACTCCGCTGCCTTGCGGCAAGGTTTTTCAAACAAAGGGTTTGGTTGAAAACCTGAATCGTTCCCCTGTCTGGGCTTGGGCAACCTGACAGTATTCTGCCCAAGCAATACTGTGAACCTTTCTTCTAACAATTTCTTGATGTTCTGGGCATTGCAGAATAATCAATGGCGCCCTATCTGCTGCATCGAGCAGAGTGGATGTGGGTATGGATGCTACTGCACAGGCTTTCCCGTCTTCTTATCCCCCTTCTTGCGATTTTTCATCCTTATTGTCCCGCCCCAACTTTACATTTATCCCCCCCCATTTTCAATTCCCCAATGCTTGGCCCTCTCCCACCTTGTTTCAATAGTCGCTTGTTTTCTAGTTTCAACTCACACACCATCGCACGGCGTCGCTCCAATCCAGTCTACATGTCCATGTTCAACCAAGCGGACAAGGTCAGTTCATCCGTTTCCCTTTGGAGTCCTCGCGTCTCGCTAAGACTGGCATGCCTCAACGTGTGCACTTTGCTACAGATTGGCCAACAGGCAGCACTTGCCCGCAAACTAGAGACCCTATCGATCGATATTTGCTGTTTATCAGAAACCCGCCTGCAAGATTCGAGCTCCGTGTTTACTATGCGAACCCCCACATGCGACACTGGCGGCACATTCTCATTGCGCCTGTCTGGCGATGATGCAGCCTCAAATGCTGGTCAAGCTGGCGCCAGCATTGCTTTGAGTCCCCGGGCTGAAGCTGCCCTGACCCACTGGACCCCAGTCAACAGTGGGATGTGCGCCGTTAGATTAGCTGGTTCATTCCGTGCTACGAAGTCGCGCGGGAACAAACGGTGCCTGTTTGTCATTGCGGCCTAAGCCCCTACAAACTGTAGCATTGATTCGGTGAAAGATGATTTCTATCAGCAACTTCACGATCTCGTTCGTTACGGAAAAAGCACGGATACTGTGGTGCTGGTTGGCGATCTAAACGCCCAACTCGGAAAATTTTCCTCTGACGGGCTTCATCTGGGCGGACAATATGGTGTAGGCTCCCGCAATGATAACGGTGAGCGATTGCTACAGCTGTGTGAAGATGCTCGCCTCTTTCTCACGAGCACTAACTTTTGACACAGCATCCGCAGAACCGTGACTTGGCGGCAGCTAGCCTCGGGCCTGCCATGGACGCGAATCGATCATAGCGCGATCGGTTACCGCTGGAGAGGCTGTGACCAAAACTGTCGCTCGATTTGGAGCACGAGCGTGGACTCTGACCACGCACTTGTCTGTGTCGACTTCCGGGTGCGTTTCGGTGGACGTCCGCAACGTCGATGTGAACGGATTGACACCAGCCAGCTGGCGAAGCCAGGTGTTCTGAATGTGTATCAAAGTGCGCTAACATCCGGAATGGGTAAGCGCCCACTGAACGTTACTATCGGTGCGCATGCCTTTATGTGGGAAATCAGATTGCCAAACTGGACATTGGGTCTCGACATAGTCTCTGGAACTTATAGATGCTTGCTGACGTATTTCGGCTAGAAGCGAATACAATGACGCTCGAAAAAACCTTAGGGCAAAACTGAGTACTAGCCTGAAGACGAAGAAGCCTGGTGGTCTCATCATGCCTCGGAGATGGAAACATTTTCAACCGTTGGTAATCATCGTAAGTTATTCCGTCTGATAGGGGAAACAGGCAGCAGGAGACCTAATGTTAACGAAACTAGACGCGACGAGAGTGGGCAGCTGATTTAGAGCCTGTCAAAACGCTTGGAGCGTTGGGTCGAACACCTTGCAAGGCCATTTAACCAACCTCAGTTATCGCTTTCCTTTTTAGGCATTGAGCGCCCTTCTCTCTGGGCCGTCTCCTTGGATCCGCCTTCACGCGCAGAAGTCGAACGCATGATAAGGCTGTTGAAATTGCATAAGGTCGCAGGGGCAGATAGAATTGCCTCAGACCTCTACAAATTCATTGGACCTGCTCTAGTAGATGGTTTACACGAGTTGCTAGTGAAACTTTGGGAGCAGGAGACTGTCCCGACAGACTGCAGCCGCTCCATCATTGCCCCACTTTCAAGCGAGGCTCCAGTTCAGAATGCGGCAATCATAAGGGGATCAGTCTGACCTCAATTGCCCCTAGATTGCTTACGTCTGCCATTCTTCACAGACTGACTGGCACTCGTGAAAGCCAGATTGGTGAAGAGCAAGCCGGATTTCGTCGAGGTCGGGGCTGCAACGACCACATCTTCATCTTGCGTCAACTGTTGGAGCACCGCCATGTTTATTGGCGACCCACCGTTGGCGTGTTTCTTGACATAAAAGGTGCATTCGACTCAGTCGATTGATGTGACCTTTGGGACTGTCTGCTGAGGAAAGGTGTGCCTGATAAATACGTAAACAATATCAAAGCGCTATACGCGCACAGTTCGGGCAGAGTGAGAGTTTAAGGCAAACTGTCGCCACCCTTCAGTATCACCAGCGGTATGAGACAAGGCTGCCCACTGTCACCACACCTATTTAACTTCGCAGTTGACGAAGTCATGGAATCAGCATTCGCTGGACACGACCTAGAAGGTGTGGAGCTACTTCCTGGCAAGCGACTTCTTGACTTAGAGTACGCGGACGATATTGCCCTAATTCGGGACAACTCCCAAACATGTCAAGCAGCACTGGACCGATAAGCACTGGCTGTGTATCGTTTCGGGCCATGCTTTGCTTCATCGAAATGCAAAGTACTTCTCCAATATTGGCAGGGAGCCACTCCTGCGCTAACGCTTTGTGGTGAGCAGCCAGAAGTCATTTAGAAATTGAAGTACATGGGCAGCTATATTAGCGCCCGTGCGATAGAAGATGAGGCTATGAACCGTATAGCAAAAGCTCGAGGTGCTTTTGCCAATCTGACTGGTTGACCGAACTACCTCCTCGTAGTGCCAGCTGGGTGGTTCGGGTGTACGCCGTTCCAGCAAAGTGCTCGGCGACAATGTTCCACCACGGGGGGGGGGCATTGTATTCCAGCAATTGTGTTGATTTCATGGAGAGTATTGGGCCTCTGTTTGGTGATCTACCAAACAAAGACGCATGAACAGTCAGCGCCTCCTAATAAGCGCGATTCCCTAAATTCGTCCCGCTGCCTTGCGGGTAGGTTATTTAGCCAACGGCTCCGGGTGGAGCCCCCTAAGTCAACTCCCTACTTCGGCTTGGGCAACCGGGTAGTATCATGCCCTCTCACAAAACCATAGACTGTAGTACAACGTGCTCATTAGCTACTGTTTCTGATTCTCACATTCACGCGACCTCATCACACGCCAATTGTTCGTTTGCTAACAATCCTCACTTTCTGTTACCCGATTCGTGTGTTCAACAGTCTTCCCAACTGTGGCGCAGACGCGACATTACTCTCGCCCTGAAGGGAAGAGTCTATAACGCAGCCGTCCGTTCAACTCTCCTACATGGTTGTGAAGATTCGCCCATCAGGTTGACAAACATAAGCAGGCTCATCCCATTCGATTATCGCTGCCTTCGCAGCTTAGCTCATGTCTGGTGGAAGCAACGCATGAGCAATGAGCGTGTTCGACGTCGCGTATTTGGTGCAGGAAGAGGTAGTGAGCCGCTCAGCACCATTATACCACGCACCAGGCTCCGATGGCTGGGCCACGTGTTGCGCATACCGGCACACCGACTCCCGCAAGATGCATTGTTTGTGCGCCGGGGGTGCGGTTGGAAGAGGAGGAGAGGAGGCCAAGTGATGACTTGGTCGAGAGAAATGAAAACCCTCACTTCGAAGTTAGCGTCGGTTGGTGCATCCCGACTGCATGGTTGGGGTCCTAAGGACGGTGAACACGTTTGGTTAGACACACTTGCTGCTATGGCTAGGAGCCGGCCCCAATGCCGTTTGTGTTGTCAATTCCTTTGTTCATCCCCCTCTTGCTTAGCATCCCCTCCAATCACGATCTCATTCGTTAGGCATAACTTTTTGCGGCACGATAGCCGGCTGTTAGCTCTCCGGAACGATGTCCATCCGTTACTGGGGACTCAGCCGGCGCGCCACTGTCTTTTTTCTTGTCTTTTGTACTGCGGCACAATAGCTGAGTTGTTTTTCACCTACAGCTAACGTGTATAATGATGATGAAAGAACCATTTTCTAGTTAATGGATTCTGGGAGAAGCCCAATACTTATTATCTCATTGCGGAGCTAAACAGCAAGCATAAATCGACGTGTTTCTCCACCCGTCAGTCCCGTAAAAAGGAAATCTAACCTTGTGTTTGAACGTGTTTTTAATCCGAAGGCTCCAATCTATCGCTTCCACCGGAACATGATGGCCGTGAAAAAAGAGTAAATATGAGGAAAAAAGAAGATGGACTTCAGAAGTTAATAATCAGAAATTTTATAGTGAGCATGGCTGCAGCCGTAGTTATTTTATGGCCTACTTCGTCAGTCTGCTTATTCAGGGAAAAAAACGCCGAATGCATACATGGTCGATCAGAAACGGAAGAACCATAGCGCACTGAATTCAGCCATCTCTGGCAGCAGGCAAAGTGGGTCATCAAATTTCGAGTATCGGTGCGGAAGACAGTTTTCCTTTTAAGAAACGGAGAATATACGTGGTCTATCAAGCCTACTATCGATCGGGATGCTTGACTATGTGAAAGTCGAATACCATAAACAAATAGACCAGATTTACAAGCAGACTGAAGACTGGGGTTGATGCTCACTTGCGGAGGAGTACCGTGAAGACGTCGGTTTCGCGGAGTCACACGCATCTCTATCGAACGATGTGAATTTCCCATCAATATCCGTGAGGTAAGCAGAATTGAGGGAAGCAGATGAGAGAGGTCGTGGTTTACGACAGTTCGCCAACGGGGGTAGAGCATCTGTGTATGGCTGCGGTAGATGCTGCTGCTGCTTTGTTTGCTGCAATAGCAGGCGGGCTTTGGCCAACATGTGTTCGGTCCGCAGCGTGGATACCGACTGGAAGGGGAAATGAGGCGCTGTTAGAGCGGGGTGACAGAAATTGGGGATTCAGTGTGCCAAGCGTGTGAGTGGGGATGTGGAATGGTGAGAAATATCCACAGGCCATACGAAGACACCGTTTGACAGAAAAAAATGAAGGCCGGAGCAACGGATGGAAGGAGTAGGCGAGTGGATAAAAACGTGTGTTGCCACACTGAATCATGGAGAGTAAAATGATTCATAGAACGGGCATAAATGTCTTGGATCCATCCGAAAAGTGGGTTAGGAGAGTAGCTAAGTGACGAATGTGTCGCACATCAACGGGAACCCGTAAGCTTGCCTATTCAATGGTTTCAGGTGCAGTAGTCACTGAAACAAGTTGAGTGGGAACAAGACGAATTGTGGAGAAAACAAAGAGCAACTCTGTCTACAAAGAGAGAGTGTTATCGCTCCGGGTCCATGTATCGAGATAGAAATTGGATCGTTAAATGATAGTTTTGCGCTGGTAATATCGCAAGTGACAAAGGAAACCAAAAAGAAGAGGAGGGGACATGGTTGAAAGATGTCCATGGATAAATGGCACTCTTTGGGAGGTTGCGTCCGAAAACCATTCTACCACAAACCTCTGATGCACCAGTATGACCGGCGAGGGAGTTAAGAGTGGACCCAACGATGCAGAAACGTCTGGCGGGGATCTGACAACGTTTGTGAATAATCAGCACACATAATTTGTCAGGCCAGAAGAAAGGTGTTGATTGGCCCGCAACTTGCTGACCAAATGCTGACTGGGATGAGATGGGTGAGGCAGACAAAGAAGCAAGAAATATGCTCTCCCACGGTCAGACACATCCCAGCGGAATTTGTGCTCTGCGCCACCACAGAGCAGTACAAATTCCAGTCGAAGTGGTAATAGAGAAGAGGGACCACCGCATTTTGTCAATCTTCTGATATGCGTTCAGAAGACAAATAATCGCTGGCCACGGATTTGGAAAGTTTAGTTTATTGTAGTTCGATGGAGCACGGAGGTACGTAAACCAGCACACTACGCGAGAGTCGTAGCCCATGGTGATTGATACCCTTGTACAACCAGTGCGGTATTTTGTTGTCTTACTAGAACCAAACATGAGATAGTCATACATATGTATTGCGATATTCGACATAATACACAAACCCACTCATCACTGAAGAAGTTTATCGCGTTCATCGTGCCTGACGTGGGAACGTGCGACGCTGTGAGGACCAATTTGAGTGGAAGCGCACGTCGTATATTGTGCTAAGCATGTGAGAAAAGCGGCAATGGCATGTTACATTCAGTGAAGCATTGATCTACCAAAAACGACCATCTACCATGTCATAAGACCGTCAGACAACCATCACATTTCCGAGGTGGCATTGTGCGGTCGTGTCATCCCCAGCAGTGCACATTCCATCTGTCCCTTGGGGGACTACAACTCGAAAACTTCGTATTACGATACAGTGGTTAAAACCAGCACCTAAAGGAGGAAGGCAACTATCGACAAGGCCAAGTGACTAGATGCCATATAGCGCGGCCCACTCTCCATTGGCGCGTGCGTTAATACCTCGTAGAGGAAAAGGTAGCCCTTCGCCCGAGCAACGGCTTCCAAAACGTAAGCAACAATATGTCACAGCTGATGTCATTGTCATGTCCGTCGTCGCTCGTTCCCGGTGGCTTAGTGATCTTCGCCACAGACTCGTAATGGTAGGGTCTCAGGTTTTAGCGTCGCAAGAAAGGGTGGAATGCGCGCTGTTAACGATTCTCAACAAAGTGAAACGGTCACACAATGCTTTCCTGGACGCGCGATGGACGTCTGACTGAGTCTAGCTGTTACAAAGTGAGCTTATCACCAGAAACCTGTTATGTTACTGGATGTATAAAGATAGAAAGCGGTCGAAAATGTCATGGTAGTTGGTAGTTAGGATGAAGGAAACCGATGCAAAACAAGCGAGGAGCAAACTAATGAAGCACCATATTACGTGGGCTGACCACGATTGCACGGATAGCAGAAATAGAATTAGTTCAGCCGAGAACAAGCAAAAAGGGAAAAAGCGGAGGACTGAATTGACTCGCAAGGCAGGGAGCGGACAGAACATTAGCGCTACCAAGGCTGAACTGACGTCCAGGGGGTGCGTTGGCAGCTGGTCAATTGAGCGCAAGAAGGCAATGCGTGGGCATTAGGCAGACATCCAACCGAATTTCGTTTAAACGACATGATCAGAATTGTATAGTCCGGATGGACAACGCGCGATCTATTGCGAACCGAATGCGACACGGATCTCAGCAGGAGCAGAAGCACGTTCAACCGTGCATTTAAGACCACAATGAGGAATCTCCTACTCTATAGGAGTGATATGGTTCCCTCAAAATCTAAAAGATCGGAGGCATCTTCATGCATCTGATCACGTATGACTGCAGAGCAATGCCTGTGTCAGATGCCACCAGCGTATCCTCGACGACGAGATACGTTGGCGAGTACGAGGTGGTGATGATTAGGCCACTCCCTTAGAACAACAGATAACAATTATTAATTTATGTTGACTTGGACACGCCCTACGCGTGCTCAGTCACCCCTTACTGAGGATAGCAGTTTGTTTGTCAGGTGGACAAGAGTTGACTTGGCAACAGCAAATGAGATTGAGTGACTATTACACTGAAGACTGAAATCCACGAGACGCATCTTTAGCCTGGGACGAGATTTTACAGGACATGGCTCGCCGTTGGCATCAGTGATGGACTCACTGTAGTTTTCTTACTGGAATGTCTATTTAAATTGTGTCTGATGCTGAGTTATCTTCGGAACAGTGGCGGATTACGACGCGGGGTAATGAAAGCTGCAAGGAAGTTGTTTCGAAGATGTCACCTTGTCTCGATGCACGAAATCCAACTGTCTGTGACCGTATGCTGCTGACAAGGCGTAAGTGATTTTAATGTAATACCTAAGGGCGTTTAGGTTTCAAACTAGGTACTTGTTTACGCTTTCTTAATATTTTCCATTCTTTAACTCATGGTGGCTGTACGGCACCGAAGTATGATGGGTTAAACTGGGCACAGTAAATAAACAGCGAGAGCTCCGATGGACATAAGCCGATGGCATGGGAAACGTCCAGAGAAAAGCCGGCCCAAAAGAATAGCGCCTCAAATGTTCAGATACGATGCAAATTATTACCCGTTTCTTGATTATCAGATCTGTGGTTGTTGATCAAACTTTACTTGGATACCCAGAGGGTTACAAGAATCAATTTAGAATGGGTTCTATCTGGTGTGAAACCCAGAATTGTTTCTAACAAGGAATGAGGGGATGCCTCGAACGGATTTGTGAGCGAGAAGTGAGATCAAGTTGATTGAATTGAACTGCCGATGGGTAAAAAGAAAAAGCCAATGATGTGTGCGTTTGTGTGTCACTGAGTATACCAATGGGTAAGGTGAAATGTGACTCTACTGGTTTTTTCAGATAATCGCATGGACGCTCGTGCCCATAGGAATTACACTTCATCCCCAACGGACACCGGACGGTCTTGAAATGTGAGCGAAGCAAGTGTTTTTGCACCACACAAGTGGTCAGTAACCAAGACCAGATGAAGGCGCGGAACTACAGTACTGAGCAGCTGTTTGGAGCGAAGCATGGAAGAATAGTGAAGGGCGCACGGTATATATATATATATATATATATATATATATATATGGTGCTTTGGAGTATTATTTAGGCAGTGACGACAGCGTCGGTGCATTTTATGACGCATGATTTGTGTTCCGTGAGGCATCCAGAGCTGCTGCTCTTCGTTGCGGCATCCACACGGATGTGTCGGTTACACAGCTATTGTTTCCGCCAGACTGCAGTTCGCTTTCATTCCGTGTCATCGTGACCGATTGTTATGGTACCTTGCCTCAGTAGGGGACGGAAACAGCTAAACTTAAAGTGAGTTGCCCGCTAGGAGGAATGGGATATTCCGTTGTATTTCAATCCGACTGCAGACTCCACGCTCATTGAGGACATAAACAATGTGAGACGAGCCACTTGGCCGAGTTCAAATGAGTAGGAACCAAATAGCAACTCCCACGTACGATTTCAGTGGCACTTTGAGTGACTGCTATATCGACAGAAAGACCAGTCTGCGCAATGTGAAACCATGTATCACCTGTGTAGATGCCACTACCTGAGGAGTAAAAGGGTGTCGCCCAAGCGAGGGTGACTTATTTGCTACATCAAATTCTCCAAGCATCGTGGTTTGTTCGAACGCCGGTTGCAACGGAATACTACCCATTGGGAAATGCTTCCCAGGCGACCGTGAATATCTTTGCTCGGGTTTTCCTTATTGCCTCTGTGCTCCCGCATCGATTACCACTGCGTAATTCCAAGCGACGTCAAGCCGCCTGTACTGCTATGACTCGTTAGACAACCGGCCCACGTGTCATCACCCTCTACCTAGTACAGCCAAGTAGGCATATTTCAGTGTTCCACGCTGCTCTGCCCGCGTCCAACATTGTATCCATATCATTTGCAAACACAAGCAATAAGGAAATGCCATCTGCAATCACTGATTACCCCGCAATCTTCTTACTATGCATTACGAGTGCTCAAGGTCTAGCATGATCGTTTCCCTGCGAAGAAACGGCAAGGAATGCGCTACACAATGTCGCGCATCACCTTGGAGCAAGCGTCATATTTCACCGAAATTAGTACTGTACATTTCAAGCGGAGCATGTACTATAATCGCACACGGCAACAAAGTAATAACAATGAAATTTACAGGCAGGTAGTCTAATGACCTAGAAATCGTTCACAGATCAGTCAAATGAAGGACTCGAGCGTAATTCCTTTTGAGATGCTGCACCATTTGTTCGTACTGGTGCTCTGCACATATGTTTGGGTTTCAGAAACCACCGTCTCCAGAAATCGTATCCGCCACGCGTGTTTGCTGACAATCCTTGCAGGATCACCTCGGAGCATCTCGGCATACCGTGCACTCATTGCTTTTTCACGTATGCCTTCATAATACTC